CAACCCACCAGCAGGCGGCAAGTCCAAACGGCACTGCGAAGCTCTCCAACCACTCTCCTGGCGATGCGCAAGACTGGAGTGGTGATGAACGCTCCAGCGACGAAGAAGCCCACGACAGAAGCCAAAGCGGCACGTCGAACAAGCGGAAGCGGCCGCTTTCTGTGAGTTGTGAGACATGCAGTAAGTGTGACACAACAGGATGAGGCTGTTGAGGCTCACCATACGTAGAGCAGCGAAAAGTCAAATGCGACAGAGGCGCGCCTGCCTGTTCCTGGTGCTTGAAGAACCACTCAGCATGCGTCAGTTGCGCCATCCACTGACATCACCCCCAATACTCAATCGCATCAGGTCTACCTTCCGCGCAAGAAGCCCGGCCTGCGCGCTGGCTATGGACGAGAGCTCGAGTCGAGACTTGGTAAGTCGCGCATCTTCACCACCCCGTTCTGGAGTAGCCGAGGTCTGGATAAGCAGACTGAAGTTTGCCGTTATCGCTGGCAAACTTCGCGCGCCCACAGTCATGACAGTGCCCGGGTGGGATTTGATGGAGGTCACGACTGTCGCGCAGCTTGACTAAGCGGGCGCTCCTTCTGTCCGTCAGCCAGAGACCCTACAGGGCAATCGCGACCACAGCTGACAATCGTCCCTTCCCCAGACAAGCTCGAAGCGCTACTCGTCCAGCAGCAGTCGCAAATCAACCATCTTTCCAGCACCCAAGTCGCCACGTCCGGCCCGTCACCCCAAGAGGTAGCCGCGTTCCGAAGCCCGCCCGTCATCCAAACCCCCCATATACCGCGTCCCGAAACGGCCCTCTTCATCCAGAAGCCCACGTTCCCTTCGCAGAGCGCAATACAGAACCAATATGGCAACGGCGTCACGGACAATAGACCCACCCCCTCGGTCACGGGGAATGGCTACCAGTCCGAGGATGTGAGCATGAGCGGTGGCTTGTCCAGGGATGGCTACACACCATACAATGAGCAATACCAGCCGGCCATATCGAGGACTCTCGGTCACGCGGATGCCGACTTCCCACCGTACGACCTTCTATATGGCCTCGTCGATCTTTTCTTCAAGCACATCAACACCTGGTGTCCCATCCTCCACCGCCAGAGCACCCTGAACTCGCTTTTCGGAGACGCGACGCTAGAAGAGGCGGATCGAATCATACTACACGCAGTTGTCGCGACAACTGTCAAGTTCTCTACCGACCAGCGCTTGACTGCCGAGAAGCGCACGCGCTACCATAAGAACTCCAAAGAGAAGGTCTTGCTGTATGGCATCGAGAACAGCTCTGTAAAGTCGTTGCAGGCGCTTGTGATCCTCGCTCTGGACGTTGTTGGCTGCTCCAATGGCCCTCCCGGCTGGAACCTTCTGGCTCTAATTACGCGCTCAGTCGTCCAGCTAGGACTATCAGTCGAAAGCTACTCACCGAGCGTCGCTCCACAATTTGCGTCAATATACACCTTGCGCGCCATGACGCTGCCTGAGCCCAAGGACTGGATCGAAGAAGAGAGCCGACGCCGCCTTTTCTGGATGATCTACGTCTTAGACCGATACGCGACCGTTGCCACGGCTTTCGAATTCGCTCTCGACGAAAAGGAGATCGACCGTCGGTTGCCGTGTCGCGACGACATGTATGCGCGCAACGTGCCCGTCGAGACGCGATGGTTCCACACTTCGACACGATCCGACTACAGCATGAACAGACCAGAAAACCTGGGCTCCTTCTCATACTACGTCGAAGTCCTGGGGATTCTCACACGCATCCACAAGTTCCTCAAGAAGCCTGTAGACATTACATCCTTGTCCGACGTTGAGACCTGGCAAAGCGAGTACCGTGAGCTTGACAATGCCATCGAGCAATGGAAGTACAATCTTCCTCAAGAATTTGGCAACTCTGCGAGATTGTTTGCAAAGCCGGGTATGGGACAGAATTTGGATAGTGGTTTGGTGATGCTCCATGCGGCCTTCCACACGTAAGTTTGTCTTCCCTTTGCCTTAAGGAAGAAACTAACTCTGGCAGCACTGTGATTCGTCTTCACTCATCTGCGGCGTACCCTACCCATCGTTCACCCATCTTCACACCGTCCTTCAGCGCTAGCCAGCGGTGTCTCAGTGCTGTTGAGAATATCACAGCCTTGTGTGCTACCGTACGCGACAACGGTTTGCTGAGCAAACTTGGCCCGCCCTTCGCATTCTCGCTCTGGGTAGCCGCACGTGTTCTCTTGGTCCACGGATCCACCATCGATCACCGAGTCGATCAATCCATCAACCTCCTTGTCAGCACTCTCCAGGACATGGGTCAGTACTGGGAAGTAGGCACGCGCTATGCAAGTCTTCTTTCACGCGTACTTTCCGAATATCAAGAGAGCCAGGACACTCCGGCTGGTGCGAATGGTGAACGCGTAACACCTTCAACCGTAAAGATCCTCGCCGACATGCGACGATGTGCATTCGATCTCGACTTCCTCATATCCCGCCAACCCAAGCTCAGCAACAAACAAAATCTGAAGATACCATCGGTGACTCCAGCTCGAACACCTGCAGCGAATGAGCTAGAGTATCTCGATGTGTTCGACTTCTTCAACATGCCTCGACTCCCTGTGTCGATAGACGGAGCCATGAGTTACCCTGCGCCAGACGGCAACATCCAATTGCCAGACGGCGGGTTTGGAAACGAGTCGAACATTACCAATTACATGGTTGATGCGAGCTCAGATTGGTTTATGAAGCAGTCGGCATAATATTTCTTTTTGTGTCTTGGGTGCACGGAAAATGGACTGTAAAAGTTGGCTGATCTTTCGGTACATAATAATGCGTTCTGGACCCTGTTCATAGTCTTGTCCATACAATCTCTCCCTACTTTGAATGATACCCTATTTTATCTCCAACAGACTTATCTAGCTCATCACCAGTGATCCATGCATGCAATGAGTCCAAGCAGCTCGACGTTCAGGACCGTACCTGGGCGTGGTTTGTAGTGTACGCTTGTCCGGAACCGCTCATTCCGATCGGAATGCCATCGGTGCGTTATCTGCATCCTCGCTCGACCTCTGTAATCGACACTTGACAACACATCTCACTGATCAAGCAATACTGTCATTCAATTCAGTGTGATCTACGCGACTACTTACATGCTCCATCGAGCTTGCGTCGATTTGGTTCTTGTACAATACCGTGTATAAGACAGTCGCCGTTTACCGTCGGAATAGGCTGGTGAGACTCGGGATAGCGTACAAGGTATGGGTGAATCTTACTCCGCCGAACCGAACGTACAAGAGGGATGAGTCATTGACATTCATATAGCTTGTTATATAGCTTCGTGCAACGCTTGAGCATTTGATACCTATACTAGGTTCAACGAAGAGCTCGCATTTCAGCCTAACTGTCATCAAAGCATCTCATCATCAACATCCTCAAACATATTCCATATTGAAAGCTATCGGTCATCACCCAACCACCCATGATGGCTTCCCAAAAAGACCAACAACACATCCTCATCCTCGGCGCCGGCGTAATCGGTCTAACAACCTCACTCGTCCTATCACACACGTATCCCACCGCCAAGATAACCGTGGTAGCAAAACACTTCCCCGGAGACCGCTCGATAGAATACACATCGCCCTGGGCGGGCGCCAACTGGTCCTCCATGGCCCACGACAACGGTCCGCTGGAGAAATACGACGAGGTCACCTTCCACCGTTTCGGTGAGCTTATTGACGGGAAGAGCGTGTTTGGTTGTCAGACACTGAAGGCTGGTGAGACGAAAGGTGTTGATGGGGTCAATGGAGGGGGGAATGAAGCGGGACTGGGGAGAATGGGTATGTGGGCTGCATTCGATGAGCCGATTGAAGAGGCGGGTGTTTTGACGGAGGCGACGGGTAAGGTGTGGTATGATGAGTTAGTCGGGGGCTTGAGGAAGTTGGGTGGAAGTGAGTTGCCCAAGGGAGCGAACTTTGGCTTCGAGTTCCCAAGTACGTTCAGGATCAACACGCAAGTGTATCTGCAGTGGTACGTATTCCTGATCCTCATTCCCATGATGCAAAGCCCTAGCTTTAGTGCCATTGATACTTCGCAAGACTGATATTGTACCAGGCTCCAAGCTCAAGCTTTGTGCAAGGGCATCAGTCTCGTACGCCGACACTACCCTTCCGTCTCAGAAGTCCTAAGCGACCACACATCCACCACCCTTCTAGTAAACTGCACCGGTCTTGGCTCCCTCAAACTCTCCGACATCAAAGACACGAATCTATACCCAACGCGCGGCCAGACACTACTGGTCGCCGAACCAAAAAGGCCAATCACCAGAATGTATGAAATGGAACGAGTCAAGTACGACAAAGCTATCCTACTTGCCTTCCTCCGCCCCAAATCTGACTACTTTCCGTGTATTCAGTTTGACTGACGAATCGAACTAGGTCTTTCCGCTCTCCGAAGAGAATCGATCCCACGACAACCTACGTCTTCCCCCGTCCGCTGGGCGGCGGCGTGATTCTAGGTGGCAGTCGACAGGACAACGATTGGAGTGAAGAGTGGGATGAGGAACTTGGTCAGGATATCATGAAGCGGTGCTGTGAGTTGTGTCCTGAGCTGGGGAAGCCGGAGGATCTGCAGGTTATTGGGCGGAATGTTGGCTTGAGGCGTAAGTACCGAGGTGAAAGTCATTTCATGGGCGCGGGCTGACAGTATCTAGCGTCGCGCAAGGGCGGCCCGAGGATTGAGACTGAGATGGGCAAGTGGAAGGTTCCGGTTGTGCATTGCTATGGGCATGCTGGTGCGGGATATCAGTCTTCGTGGCGAGTACATTGAAGCTTGTCTGTCTCGACAGTACGATACTAATATTTATCGCAGGGGCACCGCCGAGCGCGTCCTTGAGCTCGTTCAGAAGACGCTGACGCCCAGCTCGAAGCTATAATCGCTACATCAGACACTCTCAGTTGATCCAAACCAGGGTTGACTTCACCCAGCCAGCTATCATTCCAACTCCACTCTTGCTTAGCTCACATCTTCTCCTCTTTCCTCCCCTCATCCCTACTATTCCACTCCCGATCGAAAACCTGCAAACTCCTCTGCGCAGTAGGCACAACATCCAACGCCTTCACACTAACCCTATCCTTCTGACTCAGCATGAACGCAGCCGCTTCCGCAACATCCGGCGCAAGAAGAGGCTCGAAGCCCGACATGAAAGTGTCGTAGCTCTGCTTTTCGTATCCAACACTGTATGTCTTGTCAGCTCGGAACTCCGTCGCAACATTGAAACGAGGGAGAGATCATACCGTTGTTCATGGAAGTTCGTTGCTACAACACCGGGCCGTAACGCGAGGACTTTGATGTCAGTACCCACTAACTCCGTCCTCAGCACGTTTGTGAAAGCCTCCTGGCACGCCTTGCTAGCATGGTAGACAGCCTCGCCTGGGAACGGTGGTACTTCCAATCCCGTCGTGCTAGTGACGTTCAAGATCGTTCCCTTGCCACGCTCCTTCATCTTTCCCTCGTTCAAAACCGTATAAGCAGCGAACATGTACCCATTGATATTGGTGCTCGTCATTGTGATAATATCTTGGATCTTGAGGTCAGGGAAGCGTGACGGCGCACCTATAGCTAGACCAGCGTTGTTGATAAGGACATCAATGTGGGAGACTTGCTGGACGATGTTTGACACGGCGGTGCTGAGAGATGTGTGGTCTTGTACGTCGACGACTGATGTGAAGATCTTCAGGTCTTTGTGTTCTTTTTTGAGTTCGTCGGAGAGGGCCTTTAGCTTGTCGTCTGAGCGTGCAAAGAGGATGAGTGTTGCGCTTTCAGCGGCTAGTCGACGCGCAATAGCGGCGCCGATGCCCATCGAAGCCCCTGTGATGAGGACGGTTTGGTCTTTGAGTGACATGGTAAGGGTAAGTTGTATAAGGGTAAGTAAGACGGATGGTTTGAGATGATAGTTCAATTCGTGTGAAACCTCGGGACTGTTTTGTCGTGACTGACGGTGAGGAGACAATGATTACACAGGAAATACATATGCGGAGGATGAACATGCTAGTAGGCTTTCGGTGGAGCAAGAATGACGTCATCAGCATCGCATTTGTCATCTACGAATGGTGTCCGATGTGTATAACACGTTGCATTGGGTGTGTAGTAAATATAGTTCATAAGGGTATCTCTGTAAACAATCATTCTGATAGCATCAGTCATGTAACAAATCAAAGGTCTCAGGCGTTGACTTACAATTCGTATCTGGCATTACCATCGCAGCGCGAGTCCGTATCTTGTGATGCGCGCAACTTCCAGTCGCTTATGCTTATGAGCTTTAGACTTGAAATAGTCGAGGCATATCGAAGAGTGTTGTTGGCTGTTCGATCGAAATCATCAACCATCCCACCTCTGCGCCTCTTTGTTGTAGCCGATGAGCTTGAGGTCGATGTTAAGGGTCTTGAGCATCATGTCCATCGTGAACGACTGCTTCAACATTAGTATAACGACTTGCATGTACACATCCGTGCACTCACATCATCGTCTGCTCCCTTAAACGTCTCCTTCTCCTCCTCTCCTTTGTCCCTCTCCGAATCCATCTCGGCGTAGCGATCATACGCTTCTTCAGAGACCTCACCACTCTCTTTCGCCTCCTCCATCTTCTCACGTTCCGCCTCCATCTCTTCTTTATCCCATTGCATCTGCCGTTCCTTGGATTCTTTTTCACGTTCCTTCCATGCGCCTACCCCGCCCATTCTGTTAACCCTGTCTCTAGTGCTACCAAACAGCTCTTCCGCCGCCGCACGACTTGCTGTACGCCATTTGTCGACCAGTACGACCAGGTCGTCATCCTTTGTAGACGTTGCCAGGGTCTGAGCTTGTGTAAGCATCTGGATCTCATTGCGGATTTGCATGATCTCGCGTGCGACCGAGGGTTTCGACGGTGCCTTCTTCGACGCGACACGTGACGGGGTAGATAGGTTCGGAAGTGAGACGAGAGGTTTCGAGACACGTGGTGTCACCTTAGACGTTGCTGGCGTTTTGGGGGGTTGCATAGAGGCGGTACAGGTGGCCGCTTGCTGTGCGCCATTGCCTGCAGGGGCGGTACTTCTAGCAGGAGCGGTGGTTGTCCTAGGTGTATCAAGCGCAGGAGTGTGGACCTCAGGCGGATCTGAGGATGGCGGGTCGTCGCCTATGCTGGGCTTCAACGGTGTGCGGAACGGCGATTTGAACGGCTTCTGGAGCGTTTTCGTGGCTTCGGTCAGCCGGCGACGTTTCGCTTGCGGGGTCGACATCTTCGCGGGTGTTTGGGCATTGGTGTGGGTGGTCAATTCTCGAAGTGGGGGGGGGGGGGGGGGGGGGGGTTGTG